GTGCTGCTGGTGTAAGCATGCCTCCCTCCCTCACTGTGGGGACCAGGAACACACAAAGCCAGAAATGAGTTCTCCCACCCTACTCTAATGGTGGCCTTCATTAAGCATCTGTATATGTCATTTATTAATTACAGGCTTCCCTTTAGTAAATATATTTTTGAAAGAACAATACGTTCTTATCTCCGCCTTCTTGGTGTTGTTTCAGATGCCATGCGTCAATGTCTTCTCCACTGCTCTTCCACTACAGGTTTCGCATGAGTGTGTCCCTACATTTGCTCCTGGTATCATTAAGGATTCACCTTGAAATAATTGGAAAGTATCCTGAGTTCACAATAGCAAATCAATGAAAATACTGAGGAGGGGGCTGAAAAGATTTATACAAACATGAGGTGCTTGTAATACTATATGTGTAGAGGAATATTATCGTTCTTAACTTAAAAAAATAATAAAAGAAAGTAAGAATGTTCTCCATCCAAAAAAGTGATGGCGTCTTTTATGTTCTTCCTTCTCTTAGATCAGCAATTTCCACGTAGTGTTGGACCATTCCCGGGCAGGTGTCCTTCCACACCCTTGCTGGTCAGAGGGCCCTGTCACTGGGGTCCTGGCCACGCTGACAGGCTGCAGCCGTCTCGTGCTGTGCTCTTTAGTTGATGCTCTCTGTTGGGATCAAGACTGCTCATTAGTATGTTCTGAAACAAGTGTGTCGATGTTATTAGTCTATATACAATTTAAAATTAAAGGAAGTCGCTGTCATTCGTGGGCAGAATTCAAAATCCATTATTCTTTTTTTATTCTGCTTCATAGAAGTGATTGTAAGATTTGGGTCAAATTCAGGGTCATGGTTTATAACTTACGAGTTGGGCAGTCTTGAATGGCAAACACTGAAGTATAACATACCAACCGTGTCAGTCCTGGTTAGTTGTAACCTTTCATTCACATTGCATGGATAATCAGAAGAGTAAAGTCCAGTACAAGTTATATTCCATCATACCCTTTTCTTCTTTCAAGATTAGCGATGCTAACGTAATGGTTTTTAAAGACTATTAAATTGTAGTTAGAAAAGTAACTCATTTATACTGTTAAAAAATCGGAATACATAACAGTATAAAGCATATTCTTCCACCACCTCCGCTCATTTTTATTACCCAGTGGTGCAGTCCTGTTAACACAGCAGAAAATAAAGATTTTTTAAATATGCTGACCAATAAGAAGCTATGTTAACTTTCATTCAGACAAATATGGAAATATTTGACAGGAGGTAAGGATGCAATATTTTTATTATTGTACTCAATTTGATTGTTATAATTTTTTTCTAAACAGTGAAATTGTAAAATTAGCCAAATAAGGTTTTAAAAAATAAAAATAAGAGAGCTCATGAGATTATAATCACAAACTTTTTGATAAACTTTAAATGAAAATAGTACAGTAACACCTTAGCTGTCTGGAACCCTGGAAGAATTAATGTAATTTCCACAAAGTTGAGATTTTTCTTGCTGTTTAGAAGAATTTTGGATAAAATCTTTTTTTCATAAAATTTCTACTCATTTCTACTCTGCTCCTCCTTCCTTTTTTTTTTTGTTTTTTTAACATTTTTGTGTATGTGTGAAGACCAGCCCTGAGCTAACATCCGATGCCAATCCTCCTCTTTTTTTGCCGAGGAAGATTGGCCCTGAGCTAACATCTGTGCCCATCTTCTTCTAGTTTATATAGGACACTGCCACAGCATGGCTAGACAAGTGGTGCGTCAGTGCACGCCCAGGATCCGAACCCGAGAACCCCGGGCCATCAAAGCAGAGCATGCGCACTTAACCACTTTCGCCACCCAGCCGGCCGTTCTTTCCTCCTTCTTGATCGTAATAGATTTGTTTTAGTGTTTTGGTGACAACTGAGTCTCTATTCTGAATGTCAGTTACTGGACTGTGTTTAGAAAGTGAATGATGTTTTCAGGAACTTTTGACGAATATAAGACTTCTTTGACACCACCCTGAATGGTCCCAACATCCTTTTGAGTTGCAATGCCCTTGTTTTAGAGTATATTATACTGTCATGTCTGTGCTCTGCCACTTACTGGCTTTGTGGCCCTCGGCAAGGCATTTGAACTCCCAGTGTCTGTGTCCTCGTCTCCACATGGGTGTAACAGTGCTGCCTTATGGGGGTCCTTATAACTTATAACTGTCCTTATAAGCGTTCATGGAGGAAGTGTTCCTACAGGGCTCACCTGGCCACTTCTGAGAAGCCACGCTGTGAGTACATCCTGAGTAAGGGGTAAATGTGGGCGTCTTAGTTCTCTGCAGTGCCAAGAACATGAGAATGCCAGAAGGTTCCAAATATACAAGCTGTGACTACAAAATTAGCTCATTTAAGGTGATCCTGGCAAACTGGAGGATGAACAGAGGTACAGAATTGAGTGAGGACTGAAGGTAGGCAAGGAGGTAATTCAGAAAATAAGAGGTTGTTTTTTTTTTTTTAAAGGCTGGATATTTGAATATGAGACCCAAACATTGTAGCAAGTGTTACTCATTTAAAATGATTGAACAGGGCCGGCCCCGTGGCTTAGTGGTTAAGTGCGCGTGCTCTGCTGCTGGCGGCCCGGTTTCGGATCCCGGGCGTGCACCGACGCACCGCTTCTCCGGCCATGCTGAGGCCACGTCCCACATACAGCAACTAGAAGGATGTGCAGCTATGACATACAACTATCTACTGGGGCTTTGGGGGGAAAAATAAATAAAATCAAAATTAAAAAAAAATAATAATAAAATGATTGAACAGTCACTGAGTACCCAGAATGTTGATGAATCAAATTTTTGTTTCCATGGTCTCCTAAGTATCCTTTAGGTGGTATATTGTAACCCCACTGCCCAGCTGCGTGCTTCTTATCTCTGCATGCAGTGCCGGAACTAGGGGAACGAAAGCTTCCCACGAAATGGGTCCATTCAGGCAGTTATGTCTGAGTGCCTGCTGTATGCAAGGCTCCGTATTGGGCATTACAGGATAGAGAGAACTAGAAAACATAATCACCTGGCACCTGCCCTCTGCCCTCAGAAAGCATCAGCTGGGGAAGTAAGAGGTGCTAAGCAAGACAGCTAACTGTTTATGCAATAGGAAGTGCTGAAGGACAGGCTCAAGTAATATGTCTTATCTAACTTGGTAGTAAGGGAAGGCCTCGTAGAAGAACCCTGAACAGGAAGTGGACAGTTAGGGGTAGGAGAGGAAGAGGAGCAGGGAGGATGGTGTGGAGAGAGGTGGGAGAGCACAAGCAGATGAAAGCAGGAAACCCCTAGGCCGCCGAGGCACGCACTGGGGTGGGGTGGGGCAGTGGGTCCCAACAGCTTTGATCTCAGGACCCCTTCACACTCCTGAAAATTATGTACGACCCCAAAGAGGTTTTGTTTATGTTGGTTTAGCTACTGATATTGACCATATTCGAAACTAAACCAGAAAAAAAATTTTAAGTATGTTTTTATTAATTCATTAAAAATAATAAACTTATTGCATGTTAACGGAAATAACATATTTTACGAAAATAGCCATATTTTATAAAACAAAAACAAATTTAGTGGCATTGTTTTATATTTTTGCAAATTTCTTTAATGTCTGGCTTAATAGGAGATAGCTGGATTCTCCTGTGTGCTCCTGCATTCAGTCTGTTGCCATATGTTTGGGTTGAAGTGTAGGAAGATGTGTGGTTGGGAAAAGGAGGAGTAATTTAATAGCCTTTTCAGATAGTTGTGGGCATTTTCTTTGATATTACACCAAACTTAACAAATGGGTGGTTTCTTGAAGGAACCTGCAGTGTGGAATCTGAAACCATAGCAATGAGTTTTCTGTACATTTTATTACATTAAAGTCCAGTGGACTATCTTGTACCTTGAATGGCTCTTTTGCCCTTGAATGATAGTATGACACCATTTGTTGATCGCTTGGAAAATACTGGTTAACTGAGTTATGCAAATCTTTTGACACATTTTGTAAATCTTGGACACATTTCAGTATGCCTGTCAATAAATCCTCATACATTACTAGCACCGCTGATATCATCTTCACCACGGGAAGCTGTCAAGCTCACACTGGCAGATAGAAGTTTTCCACACTTCCCAGAACACTGGAAAGTCATTCAGAGCTCCATCGCTTTCCACCCCTACGATGACCCTCTAGACCTGTTTCTTAATCTCTGTTGTGTCATTGTAAAGATTACATGAAAAAAATATGTAAATATGTATAAAGCTTTTAGTATAGTACGTCGCCCAGGTGAGCACTCACTAAGTAATAGTGATTGTTGTTATTCTGTGCACTGTTTCTGTACTGCTGTTGTCATTAACATCATCTGTCTTCACATGTGGCATATGTTGACTGTAGCCCGGAATGAGGAACGAAATGTGCTCTGTGGAGCACCAGGGTGGTGACTCTGACTGAGTGTTTGTAACAGCTCTTTTTGACAAGCCTCAGACTGATTCCACTTGCTCTGGGTTTGCCAGCTAGCCAGTGGACAACCACCGTGCTCTTCGCCTCTAAGTTTAGAGCACTAGCAGACCTGAGAGCATCTTTCCCCTGTGACTTTCCTTGCCTTGCCTGTACCTGTGGTACACAGCTGTCCCGTGTGTGCGTGTCGGTGCCCCCACCCCAGGCTGGGGCCTGTACGTTGCCTCTTGTCCCATTGCCCCACACAGTGCTGGCATGTGGTAACTGGCGCTCAGATAATATTTGTTGAATGAATGCCGTTAGAGGGAACTTATTTTGAACAGTACTCTCGACGTAGTTTCAAAGAGTTAAAAAGTGTAGAAACTTGATCACATGTAACATATGGTCTGAGCAGAGACTAGCTGTTGTTTTTTTCTTTTCCGAGTGGCTAACCTCTGTTCACCCCTACCCCAACTCTGTTTTTTTTTTTTTTTGAAGCTCTATTAATTCAAAATAAAAATAGTGGAAGGCTTAAAAGTGTTTCACAATAATTTTGGGTTAAGCATCTTTGCAATCAATATACTTTGCTTTCTGCTTTTCAGATGTTCCTCCTGCTGATCAAGAGAAGCTTTTTATCCAGAAGTTACGTCAGTGTTGTGTCCTCTTTGACTTTGTTTCCGATCCACTAAGTGACCTAAAGTGGAAGGAAGTAAAACGAGCTGCGTTAAGTGAGATGGTAGAATACATCACCCACAATCGGAATGTGATCACAGAGCCTATTTACCCAGAAGTAGTCCACATGGTAAGTGATTACAGTTTAACCAGCGTGTCCCAACCCTGAGTTGCAAACAGGACTCTGATATTCTTAGAATAAGCTAAGACGTTTGAGCCTAACACAACATTCCCACAAAAAAGTCCTCCTGTTCCAAAATTTTATTTGTACTATGAGGAATGACAGTCTTCTTTGTAATGTATCCTGGATGATAGTGATGATAATAGTGAGGGAAACTGGGTGCCTTCTAGGGACCAGACCAAGTGCCTTAGGTATGTTAGCTCATTTAATCCTCACAACTACCTTCGGGGATAGATGTGTTAGAACTTTTATTTGTATTTATTATCTCATCCTCTTTAAATTTTTTTTTTAACATATGCAACATTAATGTAATAGTGCACAAATATAATTTAGAAGTAAACATGATGTCCATACATGTGCAGGAAAATTGTAATGATGGGGCGGAGTTAAAATAAGGGGAGGACCAAGCTGGGGTCAGGACAGTCTGCCCTGCTTGGCTGAGACAGCCTCCACTGTCAATGCTGATGTCAAGACAGTCTGCCCTGATTGGCTGAGACAACCTCCACTGTCAATGCTAGGGTCAGGACAGTTAGTCCTGATTGGCTGAGATGGCCTCCACTGTCAATGCTGGTGTCAGGACAGTTCATCCTGATTGGCTGAGACAGCCTCTGTCGTCCTGCAGTTAGTTCATTGTTGGTGTCATTCAGCCCCCAAATCTCAGTCCTCTGCGGTCTCATACTTTACAAGCCTGTTTCCAGGTCCTTTTCAGGATCCCACTGTGACCTCAGTCAGTACACCTGGAAACATTTCATGTGGTGCCGTTACTAAAAACTCTTACTGTTTAACACTGAACTCCAGTTTCTGTTGAGTTTTTGTTTTTGTTTTTTTTTTTTTTTTTGGATTTTTTATTTATTTATTTTTCCCCCAAAGCCCCAGTACATAGTTGTCTGTCATAGCTGCACATCCTTCTAGTTGCTGTATGTGGGACGCGGCCTCAGCATGCCTGGAGGAGTGGTGCCTCGGTGCGCACCCGGGATCCGAACCCGGGCCGCTGGCAGCGGAGCGCACGCACTTAACCGCTAAGCCACAGGGCCGGCCCTTGAGTTTTTTTTTAATTGTTGGTATTTTGTCCACCTTTGAAATCAGTACTCCTGCTACCTAGTTATTAGAGAGTCCTTGATGCTTAATATAAAATTTTAAATCCTGATTTTCATTGAACTCCTTCTTAAGTGACTGATTTTTTTTTACCCCAAAGCTATATATTTCAGATTTGACTAGTCTTGTTGACCTAAAATATCTTTATTTCTTACTTTAGTATGTTTGCTTTGGAAAAAGAAGATGAAAATAATGTTCTTTTTTGTAGTTCACAATCTGTTGTGTCAGAAGTTGAGATCAACTTCGTTATTTTAATTTATTGTTGTTAACTCTTAAAGTTCAGAATTTACCAGCATGTAGCCAGCCTGGGGATGCAAGGGCCATGTAGGTTCCTTCCCCAGACTCACCCCTGAAGAATAGTCAAAGGCACATATACTGAGCAGTAAACACTCTTAAAACCTTGCTCATTCTGACTAAGGAAAATTGAAGAATATCTTCTTTCTCTCCTTAATTTCAACTCTCTATTATTTTGGAAGGCCTCCCAAACCCCAAAATCACAAATAAAAATCTCTAATATTTTCCCCTAATAATTTCATAACTTTGTTGTTCACAACACATTTTATAATTCTCCTGGAACTTTTTTTTTTAATGGTATAGGATAGGGCTACAACTTTATTTGCTTCTAAAATGATTGAAAAATCATTTATCCCTACATCATGTATTTAATATTCCATTTTCCCCCTTGATTTTAAATGCCTGCAGTCCCTGAGCCCCACTCTTAACCCAAAAAGGGAAGAGTCTGTGGAGCCTGAGGCTTCACTTGGCCTGGTTTGGGTCAGAGGCCCCCTCTTTAGCCAAGTGTGGGCCCGCCTGCGTGAATCAGTCTCTCATTTGCGTTTCACAGTAGCAGTGTGCATTACCAGAACCACTTGATACTTAAAGCCCTTGCAACTTTTTTTTTTTTTTAATTTTTTTATTTATTTTTCCCCCAAAGCCCCAGTAGACAGTTGCATGTCATAGCTGCACATCCCTCTAGTTGCTGTATGTGGGATGCGGCCTCAGCATGGCCGGAGAAGTGGTGTGTCGCTGCGCGCCTGGGATCCGAACCCAGGCCGCCAGCAGCAGAGCGCACGCACTTAACCGCTAAGCCACGGGGCCGGCCCAGCAACTATTTTTAAGATTAAATAGTCATTACTTCTCCTCTCCCTGTTATAATCATATCCTAACTAGATTCTCTTCCTGCTATCTTAACTTTGTTCCCCATCCTGAAATTCAAGCCAGTCTTCCGAGTGTTGGGCAGTTTGCCCTCTAAAGCACTTAGCAGACAGTTACTGAGCATCCGCTCTGGGCTGGGCACATACTCAGGGGAGGAAATAGAGTAGTGAACAAGATTTCTACCCTTCCAAAGCTTTCCTTTTCTTGGGGGACAGGCTATAAAGTCAGCCACCCAACAGTGTATGATTCTAGATTACGATAATGCAATGAAGGAAAGGGAAGCGGGGAAGTGGATAGAGTTGCGAGACTGCCATGTGCCCATGTGGTAGGAAGTAGGTGCAGAGAGACATCTTGTACGTGATGCATTAGATTGTCCCATGAAGATCCACACTTATGAGGTACTTCCTCTGTCCCTGAGCAAGCAGGGAATGGTTCATTCTTGCCTCTCTACTCTGACCAGAGCAAGTGAGAGAGCACAGCCTTTCCCTTATCTCACATTTGTCTGGAGTTTTGGGGGTGGAATGAGGGTCAGGCGCAGAGAGGATTTTTGGTTTTATTTGCTGCTGTGGTATTGTTTTATAAACAGAGGGCACTGATGAAAGGTATAATGAAAGAAGAAAAGTGTGATGGGAGTGGTACTTGGCGGAGGTTTCTGACCTCTCAGCAGTGGAGGCTGCAGGATTCGAGCAACCAGTAGAAGGCCTCCACACAAGCAGTGCCTGGACCCAGCGTGGCAGGAGGAAAGATGCCACTTGTGGTCCGTTCGGATGGCCTCTGGTGTGCTGACCGTGGAAGCAGCGCTCAGCTGGCTTGCTGGTCTTATTGCCTGTTGTTCGTTTGTTTCTTTATGTGTGTGTGTATTTACTTTTGTTTTGTCATGGTATTTTTAAAGACATTATTTTTAAAGACATTAATTTGCACTTTGAAGAATCCAAAGCTCTATAGATGTTGTACTCCTTATGCTCCTTCTTTTAAATGTATTGCCTATTAGATTGGACTGCTATATATGTTTTTTAACAGATTTATTGAGAAATAATTCACATACCAGACAATTCACCCATTTAAAATGTACAATTCAGTGGTTTTCAGTATAGTCACAGGATTGTGCCGCCATCATCACATCTAATTTTATAACATTTTCGTCTTCTTAAAAGAAATCCCGTACCCACTAACAGTCTCTGCCATTCCTCCCTAACTCCCACCCCCAGCCCCTGACAGCCGCTCATCTGCTTTCTGTCGCTCTAGATTGCCTAACCTGCACATTTCATATAAATGGGATTATACAATATGTGGCCTTCTTTCACTTAGTTCATTCATGTTGTAACGTATCAGTACTTCTTTTTGTTGCTAGATAATATTCCATTATATGGATATATACCACATTCTGTTTATCCATTCATCCCTTGATAGATATTTGAGTTATTTCTGCTACTGGCAGTTAGGAATAATGCCGTGATGAGCATTCATGTACAAGCTCTTGTGCGTATGTTTTCATTGCTCTGGAGTATTTATCTAGGAGTGGAACTGCTAGGTCACATGTTAACTCTGTGTTTAACATTTTGAAGAACTGCCAGACTGTTTTCCAAAGCGGCTGCACCATTTTACATTCCCACCAGCAGTGTACAAGGGTGCCAGTTTCTCCACATCCTCAACACTTGTTGTTATCTGTCTTTTTGATGATAACCATCCTACTGGGTGTGAAGTGGGATCTCACTGTGGCTTTGATGTGCATTTCCCTCATGACTAATGATGGTGAGCATCTTTTCGTGTGTGCTGTGTATTTTTACACATCATAGACTTTAGACCTGGGATTTAACAGAACCTTACGGATCACCTAGCCTCACCCTTTTATTTTCCAGATTAAAAAAACTTAGGTTCAAGGAGATGAGAATGAAAAGAAGCAGTACCCAGGGGGGAAAACTCCTGGCATCTAGATTCTCAGGCCCAAATTACGTAAACTCAATTATCTCTTAATTTCAGTCATATTTTAAATATAACCAGCCATCTGTTTTTTCAATTAAATTATCTAGTTAATCTGTTTCTCAGGCACTGGCATTTTTCTGATTTTTCTGATAGTCACAACACTGATAGCAAAACCAAGAAATAGCAAAGCCACTTTTTTCACGGGACACCATTTTTACTTGAAGAATGACTAACAAACTGGTTGTTCAGACTTGGATATTTAGCAAGCATTTTCTCGAAAAAAATAAAGAAAATGGGATTGTCACTTTAAGAAAAATAACTGATAGTGTTTGTTGTCAATGATAAAATTTGAGCTTCCAGGTGAAAATTGGAATTTTGGAAAATTTGTATCAACCAGTGCAAGCTTCAGCTTCCCGGTGCCACAGGCTCTTCTGCTGAGATCGGTGGCGATATGAACAAATAGGATCTTTAACACACGTGATGAAATGAGTCCCCACTGGACTCATTCCTAACTCAGTGAACCAGTATTTTCCAAATGACCAAAAAGTGACGTTACAAAATCATTTTGTTCATGGGCCAGAGAGCCGTTCAAAGTGCAAGACACACCACTGGATTTTAATGTAATGGAGACCCCTCATTGATAAAATAACAGATTTCACGTAATAGCTAACCTTTAATAAACTGCCACTTGTCAAGTTTTGGTGTAGTGTCAGAGAAGACCACAGTTATCTGAAAGGACTATTAATTACTCCTCCCTTTTCCAACTACGTACATAT